AAGCTCCCCTCAAAATGCTATTTGGAAGTTAAAAAAAATTTTTCTTTGAACAAAAGACATTTATTATTAAAAATAGTAGTAGACATTTATTATTATAAATAGTAGCGTTACAGTAATTATTATTATTTCTTTATTATTGTGTTGATTATTTTTTGTTATTGTTGTAGAAAGTATTGTTCATGTTTTTAAAAATAAAAACGGTTAAAAAACATAAAAATCTGATTCTTTATCTGTAAAAAACTTAAACAAAATAAATTGTTTATTCTTAAAGGTTCTTTATGACATTACTTTATAGAACAATTTCCATTTAAATTTTTTAAACTTCTGGTTTAAAACTTTTGAATAAAATTAAACCATTCAAAGTTTTTTTTTTCTTTAATACTTTATTCAAATATTATATTTTTAAGTTTTTTCTCATTTGACCAAAAAGTATTTATTTTTATCGTTTTTAAAAAGTAATCAAGTGCTCATAAGACGTTGCACTTTTGACCGAAATATTTATTCTTCAAACAAAATGTTATTATTTAAAAATTATGCATGGCATAATTTGCATAATTTAAAAATTATGCATGGCTCGGATTATTATTAAAACTTTCATACATTGTCCTCCAAAGTATAACAATAAACTTCCGTTTTTTATTTTCAATCACTGAGCATAGCAATTTTATGAAAAAAAAGTCTTTAAATCAATATTGTGAAATCAATATCGTGGACCTTATTTTTATTGTGGAATCAATATCGTGGACCTTTATTTTATCGTGGAAATATCGTGGACCTTATTTTTATCTAGGAATCAATATCGTGGACCTTATTTGGGGAAAAAATTTCCTAAGATTGCAACTCCGAAAAAAGTTTTATAGGGAAAACTCGGGTGGCCCCAGATGGCGGGTAAATACGGACTCTTGATGTACAGCTTAAACTAAAGAAGCTATGTGATTTTAAATACTATATAAACATTATTTGAGTGAAAATATATGCAAAATATCAATCATAATATGCCGAAGCGATTGGCTGGGAGTGCAAGATATTGTTTTCCACCACCAGAAGAGCGATGTGCCATCATATTTGATTCATATATTAATATATTTTCATGTAAAGTAATAACTTTTTATTTATTTTTTTATTTTTATTTTTATTTTTTTATTTTTTTTTTTTTCTTTGGCGTTTGATAAAATTTACAATAAGCAAGATTGTACATATATAATATATGGCCGGAGCAAGAAGAAGACGTATATTGTCTTATCGCCAAGCCCCGTTTACATTGTTGCCTTCAGTTTATGTAACAAGTTAAAAATTACAAAATACAACACAATATATTACAAGTAGTAAATCGTATAATAAGATGTATAAATAAACATTTTTTTTTAGTTATATATATGTATATATATATATATATATATATATATATATATATATATATATATATATATATATATATATATATATATATATATATATATATATATATATATATATTATTTATAGATGAGAAATAAATCAAGACAAAAATAAGAGAGTCGCGATGACTTTTTCAGTTTAATTATTTTAGGTACTATTTTTAAAAGAAATTTTTAAAATCGAAGTTTTTTCCTTATAGAAAACGTTTAGATTCTTTTTTGAATTGTTCTAGGGAGAAGTTTAGAAGAGTTTTATTTTTAATAATATTTTTCAAAAAATTTTTCTATATAAATGGTCCATGGTATTGAATTTGAAATGAGCTGAGTTTTTAATAAGATCTTGGAATAACAAACATATCAACTGAAAATTTTGTGGGGTATTTATTAGTAATTTCAGTGAAGTAAGAGTGAAATATATTAGGAGACAAACCATGTTTTGATTTAAACATTAGAAGCATAACTTGGTATATATTAATTTTATTAACATTAAGTGCATTATGTTCGCTTAGAAGAGATTCACCATTAACAGTTTTGTTAACGTTAAATATAATCATGCATGTTTTTGTTTGCTATAGATTTTTTTAAGTTTCCCATAATTAGTACTTCCCCTTCATTATTACATTATTAATTAAACATTTTTATTTACAATAGCTGTTTAAAAAAATTCGTTACTTTAATTCATTGGTTTTAAAACTAGTATTTGTGAATGAGGTATCATCGAGTGGTACCGGATACATGTTTGAGGGTGGTTTCGGACAACTTAATCCGTTTACATATTAAAAATGAGCAACTTTTTTTTATATAAATATTAATGCATTTAATATAATACACAAACCTATAATAATTATTCCAATAAAAAAACCTTTCGAAAAAAGTATTATTATAGTACTTATTTTCATTAGTAAAAAGCTAATGTTTAAATTTCTAAATTATGACATTTTCATTCCCACTCCTTAAATATTAGAGGCAACTTTTAAAAGGTGATTTTCTACTTTAAATGAGTTAAGAACAGTCCAATGCTAAATAGTTATATATTATATTTGTGTCACACTGGTAAAAAAGAGGTAGAACCATAGTTAAACTACCCTCCAATTTTGAAACATTTTTCTAACATTTTTTCTTTTATATTTTATTAATTATTAAGACACGCAGTAATAATTTTTTTTTTCTAATTTGATAGATAAATGTTTATACTTTTAAAATAGTCTTTTAACACTTTGTTTTCTGTTAATACGTGTGTACAATCAACTTTTTTTTTCTGTTAGTACGTGTGTACAATCTATTACTGTTAAATACAATCTATGTACAATCTATTACTGAAAAAATACATATAAAATATACATATAAATTATTTTAAAATATACATATAAATTATTTTAAAATATACATATAAATTATTTTAAAATATACATATAATTTAATTTAAAATATACATATAAATTTTTTTTAAATATATATAAATTGTGGTTTTTGTGAATTATTGTAAATCTTTTATCGTTAATTTTTCTTTCTTTACTTAAATTTTACTTTTTTACAAACTGTTGTATATTTTACTTTCATAATTTTCAACAAATAAGTTGTATAGTATACGTTTATACTAGGGTTCTTGTAAATACCTAAATTTTTTTTTTTTTTTAATTTTCTTTCAATTTTTCATCTCTTTTTGATAAATACTCTTAACGTTAAATATTGTTCTTGAAGTATTTCTTAAATTTTTTATTATTTATTTTCAATTTATAGTTTTCAATAAATAATTTGTAAAGTATAAATATACTATAAGGTTATTGTAAATGCATGCAATTTGGGCCAGTGATAAGACAAAATAATGTACCGTAATTGCCCACGCAGTGTTTTATTTATATAATTTTAAATTGTAAATGTTATTAAACGACAAAATAAACAAAGAAACAAAACAATCAAAGTTTTAATAGTGCATATAAGGAAAAGATTTGTAAATAATACCTAAAAATGAATAAATTAGTTGCTTTGCATGTATTTGTATTTTAATGTAAAAAATTTGTTACTCCCAAATCATAAGCAATATTTCTTTATAATAAATTCAATTCTTTATAAGATAAGCTAGAGTCTTTACTTTAGTTGCTTATATTTTTGAGGACAGTGTATAAATTAAAGACCAACCTTATGTCAATAAATTAAAGACCAACCGTACGTCAATAAATGATTATATAATCATTTTGTAAACTATTAAAGTTGTTGACAATGTGATTAACTTGGGAAAATTCGCGTACTAATTGTTCATTTTGTATTTAAGACTATCCCATCTTTTTAAGACTATCACATCTTTTTTAGCCTACCCCATTTTTTTAAGACTATCCCATCTTTTTAAGGAAGTATTAACTAATGATGCTAATATCTTTTTATTTAATTCTATATTAAGTCTGGGAGGACGTTGCCGTGGTTAGTTAAAATGAAAAAAGATTTTTTGGTGGTAAAATTTTGTTTCTTATCAGTTCTTTTTTTTGTCTTCATCTATTGATTTGCAATACTAAAAAAAGATCTTTTTGCAGTTTAAGAAAATAATATTTGTTTTGAACGAACCTAATCGGCTAAACATTCTTGCATTATTGATCCAAACAGATTTAAAATTTGAACGATAAGACCAAATATATGTCACTTTTGATTTATTTTGTAGTGTTGAATTAAATTAGAACGTTTATATTTATCAATTTACACTAACCTATCATTAAGCAAGTTACAAATAAAATTGGATTAATGCAACCCAAGTTTCTCTTTGATTATTGAAACTTAATCTTGTTTATAAATCGTTTGCTCCAATTTACTTACCTTGTCTAAGTTAAGATAATTTCGTCTCTTCGTTATTTTAGTAAGGACTAACTGTGCAAACATAAACTTCAATCAGCAATCTTTATTTTTTAATACTAAATTATGTTTACTTTTTTTATGCTAAGCTATATTTATAAAAAGAAATATTTAATGTCTAAAATTACTTGTGATTTGTGAATATTTTTACTATTTAGAGTTTAATATTTGTTCTAAAATAAAAATGTGTTGTTATCGCTACAATTTCATTTTTCATTTTAATCGACGTTTTAAATGACGGTAGGTATTTCTTTATTGTCAGGCTTTATTCTTTTAAAAAGAAAAGCATAATTACAGTAGGTAGTTGTTGTGCCGACGTGGGATCTGGGAGCTATTCACGGCAAGCAATAATAATTTAAAAAAATTTTCTTACTACAAAGTATTAGATAGAGTTAAATAAACTAGTAAAGCGTATCAGACAGAAATAGTATTAATGTAAAAAATGTCGAATAAATATTCCTAAAATTTTATCTGGTAAATGAAGTGTGTGTAGAGAAGATAAGGAGGGGGGGCTGACGGAAAATTATATTTTCAGAGTTTTATGGGCGTTTTTTTTTTTTTAACAAAATACTTAATTATTCTGCGTCGACGCAAAATATTTGTATTTAAGTATTTAAATTATTTGTATTAAAGTATTTAAAAATATAAATATAATTAAACTTTTAAATTTAATAAAATTTGATAACTTTTAATAAAACTAAAAAATTAATTTTGTTTGCTCATTGTATTTAATGCCAAAACATAATCTTTTTTTTCGTTTAGGTTGTAAATTGATATTGCAAGAAGATATTTATCTAAATATAAAGGAATCAATGGTTTTTTTAAAGTCACTTTTAAAAACTCGCTTCGTTTACTTTTCTAAACTGCTGCTATTTTCTACACAATTAGCATAATTGAGTTTAAATTCATTTCAATAACACAACAGTAATCGTTGTACTGCATTTACTTGTTACTTACTCCAGCTGCTTGTTTTGATTTTATTCAAATGCTGTCGTATTAAAACCTAAACCAAAATGCTGAACACTTCCGACATTATGTCGACAAATATATCTTCAATAAAAAATATAACTTCAGTAACTCATTTATCTTATGTTTTGGTCATCAGTTGTCCTGCCTGTATATTTTTACATATTGTTGGACTTTACATGATTACCCAGAATAAAATCTTTGGAATGCATAAAATTGATCGACTTATTATAATAAATTTATCTGTTGCTGAAATATTTTTAAGTGGCATTTTTCTTTTATTTGCAATATTGAACTTTGCTGAAAAAGAAATAGAAATATGGATTCGAGTATTAATAAAATTTTTTATATTTGCTTATTATATAACAATTTTCCTTTTGACTTTAAATCGATTTTTTATACTTTATTTAGATGTTAAGTACGAATCAGTGATTACAAAAAAAAAAGCAAAAATTATTTTATTTTTTTCTTGGATATGCAGTTTAGCGTTTGCTTATTTTACTTTGAAACCGAGTAAAAATATAGCTTATGTTCATCTTTCACTTGATGTGGGTGTGTCAACATTATATATATTTGTTTACGCCTATGTAATAAACTTATCGTATAAAATGTCAAAAAAAAAATCACTTTTACAGAAACGAAAGTCGCTACTTCAGACATTAGTATTACCAGCTTTATATGTTTCAACCTACATACTTTTTACTGCGATACCTCATTTTATATATGCACCTTATTATATATTAGACAAAACTATAAATAAACATCTTGAGCTAGTTTTGGATATTTTTTCTTCGTTATCTTATTGGAATGATGCTGTTATATACATTTACACAAAAAAAATTAAAAGGTTTTTAACTCAAAAAAGGTATAAATATCAATGTAAAGAAATGCTTAAATTGAGACGGAAACAAGTTGATAATTCAGAGAGGATAGATACGGAGACGTCACGTAGAGAAACTTCTGAGGCAATTTTTTTCTTTTAAAAAGACAAACGTTTTGATACATATTACAAATTTGTATTGATTAAAAAATTTTATGAAAATATTTTACTTACTTTTAAAAAAATGTATTAGAAAATATTATAAAGGTATTATTCTAATATTTAAAAAATATATTTTTTCAATGATACCGAAAGTAAGCAATACTTCTATAAAGTTCTATAAATTAGAAAGAACTGTGAACTCCTTGAAAATGTTATAGGTAGTAAATAACCTGATTTTACCTAGATAGTTACCTTATTTTATAGTTATTTTACCTAGTCACCTGATTTTACCAGATAGTTATTTGTACAAACCTTTCTTTATTTTATTTTCTTTACTATATTTTAAATTTCAACAAAATAACCTTGGGTTTTCATTCATACTGGGTCGCGCCTTGAAAACGCGGCATAAATTAAACCACTTTAATTTTTCTCGCGCTTTTTGACTTTTCATATTATACTATACTACGCTATTTCCAACATTACAGCGGGCCTGAATGGGTCTCACAGTGTTCTTACCGCGGTGTTGCCGGCGGTACCATTTTCAAAACTTCACTCTGAAGCATATTTATTGATTATAACTTAATTTTACAACTTCTTGAACACACTTTGTATTGCAATGCTTGTTCCCATTTTTATGTTTGGAAATAATAAAAAAAAACTACATTATAATAAATACAATAAAATATATATATATATATATATATATATATATATATATATATATATATATATATATATATATATATATATATATATATATATACATATATGTATATATATATATATATATATATATATATATATATATATATATATATATATATATATATATATATATATATATATATATACATATATATATATATATACATATATATATATATATATAGTTTTTTTTTTTTTCGTTTCATTTTTGTCGTTGTTTACAAAGATAAACAGACAAGGCTTTTGAAAGAAGATCATATTGATCTTATCATCAGAACCTTTTACAAGTTTTTTAAAATCAATACATTAACAAAACTAAAAAATTACAATAAATCGTGATATAATTGGAAATATAAATCAAACCACTAATGTTATATATAATAAAAAGTCTGATCATATCATCAGATCTTATAAAAACGTAAATATATAAATACATATATATACATAGTAAATACAGTAATACATCTCTTTTTTTAAAAGGCAATAGAAAATACAACAGTCTTACATTTATAAAGACAAATACGTGAGTGTTATAAAAAGTATTTAAATATATCATCAATAGATAAAATAAAATTTTTAAGTTTTCTTTTAAAGATCGGAAATGTATTGGATATATCAAAATTAGGTATAACAATTTTATTCCAAAAATAGGGTGCTCGAAATGTAATGCAAAATTTGTTAAATTTTGTTCTGCAAATAGGTTCATGTACAAAATTTTTATTTCTAAGTAAATATTTATTAATTGGGTTTAGAGAAAAAAGGTTTTTAAAGATAGGTAAAGTTAAATCGTTTTTCCACATGTAAATAAAGCATAAAATGTTATAAACATTGAGCTCGTAAATATTAAGTATTTTCATCTCCATAAATAATGGTTTGGAATGAGTAAAACGATATATATATATAAATCTGGAAAATTTTTTTTTTTAAAAAAAAAATTTTCCAGATTTTTTTTAAACTTGAAAATATTTTTGTGTTACTAATAAGCATGGAACAGATGTTAATTTTAATACCTTTAAAAAAACAAAGCTTTTTATTCAACAGCTGAGAAGCATGACGTCATGATAATTATACAAAAATATATACATTTTATAAAAGCTGAATGTTTAAGCTATAAAATGGTATATAATAATGTAATTTTTCAAAATGTGATTTTTTTACTTTGGTCCACCACCTGGCTCATTGTGAGTTGGCTTTTTAATTCTAACTTGAAAACGGATGGTTGTCAAGTATAGAGTAAGTCAGTGATAAGTTAAAGTTAAGTAAAATTAAAAGTAAAAATAATCGATTTCGTTAATGTGAATGAAAACTGAAATTAGAAATTATTTGAAGAACGAAAACTGAAATAGAAATGAATATTAACATCGGAAACGAAAATAGAGTTAAAATTTTTTATTTTTACTGAACGAAAATTATTTCGTTGACGTAAGAGTTGCGTCAAAGAAATATATATTCTTTTGTTACAAAAAATATTGTGTCAGATAGTTAGACCTACAAAAACTTTGACCTGCTAATTTGTTCTATGATAAGAACATCAATTTGTTTATAAATTTAACAATCAATAAGTTTTCCAAGCATTCATCGAACCTTAAACCTTACGATTTTGAAGACAGCGCTTTAAAATTAAAAATCAAAGACGTCATAATCTACAATTTACAAAATTTCAAAATTAGGTTGAGTAGGCCACCAAAAATATATATATATTTAAAGATACTAAAGATAAAAAAATTAAAAAATGTTAAATGTCAAGATTGTTGGCTTGCAGGAAAAGTGAAAGTTATGTATGGAATTTTTTTATTCAAGTTAAAAAAACTGACACATCAACATGCTTAGTTCAGGACAATAATAATTAGGAATCGAGTAGCATAACAAAATTACAGTGAAAAAAAAAAAATGCGAAAAAACAAAAAGCGTAAAATTGATAAAAGTGCAATTAGTAATTCTACATCTTTCATAAATTGTAGAAAAATAAAGATCCAGACAATAGGAGAGTGCTCTGAATAATCGAATAACCAAGTAGCTAACGTAATCGAGTGAACATCGAATACGATCAATATCAGCTACCCACTTGCATTACTAGATTAGCCGTCATTTTGAAAGATGATAAGTTTGACCCAAAATTAAAATTGCCGGGTAATTAACACCAATATTTGTAAAATATAGTGTTTTAAATTCAATAATGCTTAACAATTTTCAAATGTTATAAACTAGTCTATAAAAATGTATAAAATTTTCCAGTGTGTAGAATTTATAAATAGTGTTTTCCAGTGTACAGAATTTGCCGAGTTTGTGATACTTTAGGCTAAGCGGATATTATTTTTTATATAGGACAGTGGATCGCCTAAAACAAATATACTATTATCCGTGTGTCAAAAGGATGAAATAACTTTTGAAACCCAAAATAAAAGAAATAATGCGAAACAACTTTGAACACTGGTGAATGAAGTTCTAACAAAAATATTATTATTTATGTTATTAGTGCATACAAACTATTTTTGGGTTTTTAAAATTCACAAATTTGCTATCTTATTTAAACTAAGAAAATAAAAGTAGCCATAAAATGAAAGAAGTTCTTTAGTCATTCTCATTAAAAAAGAGGACAGGATATATAGTAAATGCTATATCCTGTGTTTTTATTCATATCACAAAAGCATGGGAAACGAAACATGGGTAAAAAAGATGACAATTATCAGTTATTATAATTGTTAATTTCAATTTTTTAATTTCATTTTTTTTCAATAATTTAACTTCTATAATTTAATTTCAAATGGTTTTCTTAAATTTAGGAGTTGACACATTCAGAGCAAGTGAATGGGTTTGGCTTTAAAATATTTTTTCACTTTAAAACTCTTTGCAGTACAAACGGATATACTTCAAACCGATGCTCAATTCCTTTCACAGGTTTTACCATCTATACTCAACTTGGAATGCCACTTGCAAGATCATCCTACGAACAAGACTATGACAGTAAACTTTCTTGAAGATCTAAGTTAAAGGTTTAAATCAATTTTGCAACCTGACTTTTTTTTTTTTTTTTTTTTTTTTTTCAAGTTGATTAAGGTGCCCCAAGAAGTCCTTACGGTCTTATCACAAAACACCGCGAAGAGCATTTAATAGGAAGTTCACGCCTCCTTCCCAACCAATGTCGCAAAGCTTGCCCAGAGGTAGGGTTTGAACCACGGATCTTACATTTCTGAGGCAAGTGCGCTACCACTGCGCCACGGCTGCTCCATGCGCCACGGCTGCTCCATTGGCTACAATTTGTCCACAATTGGCTACAATTAATCCACTTTCATCTACTGCATGTTTGCTAGATCCAACCGTTGCTGTCTTTATTTTTATGCCGGAAACGGGCACTTTAATTCATGCAGCAAAGATGTATATTACAAGTGTTTGTGGAGATGAGCCAAACTTACAAACAGCTGCCGAGTCAATTGGATCTGAATGTGAATCTGCAGCCATGAAGTACTTTAAATTCTTGTCAAATAAAATCCTTTCAAATCATTCATTTTCCATGTAATTCTCCGCAGGGAATTACTTATTCCGCAAGTGCTAATCATTGTTCTGAACGATTTTTACAAATTATTGTCCAAAGATAATTGTTTGTGTAACAATCATTTCAGATTGAACCTGAAATTTACATTGTAGTTGCTTTGCCAAAATTGATAATATCTATGTTAACTTATTTTTGATTGCCTTTAAAACTTTCTCAGTGAATAGTAATATTTAGAATATTAATTGAAAAATGGACTGCTACTTGAAAAACGGTGCTTTGGCTCTGCGTTAAATAATAAAAACCTGTATCAAAAGTTCACTTTTATGAAAACACAATGAATTAGCTAAAAGATCAACAAAGAAAATAAACAAAAGTACTTAAAGTTTTTTACTATCTCATTTTCTTATTTGGATAGTTATTGGTAAGAAGGAATTTAGAATTAACTCATTTTTTTTTGTATTTGTTTTTATGTCTTTTTTTGTGTGTGTTTATCACAGGTTATTCCGAAGATATCGGATGGAAGGGGTCTAAAAGATTTGGACATCTTAATTATGATTATTTAAAAGAAATAAAAGCACCAACTACACAATCAGTTTCCATAACATTGTCAAAAATGATATTTACAGGAATCAAAATAAATCATCCTATTGGCACTGTAATGTGACATTCCCATTTAAACAAAGTTCAAAACCACAACAAATGCACTCATCTACCAGAACAAAATCAAAATTTTGATAAATTTTTACAGGTCTTTATAATTTTCAGAAGAGATCGTTATTTATGAGATTGTTTTAAATTTAAATATTGAATTCGGTACGACGTTTTCTCAATATTTGAATGTGAGCCCTGTACTAATTCTATAAATAAAACACTAGTACGCATGCTTGGCGAATATACTAAGAAATAGC